CTATTGTCAATGGGATTACTTTCTTGATTTATTTTTCAGATTGTTCCCTGTTGGCATATAGAAACACTACTAATATTTGTATGTTGATATTGTATTCTGTGAATTTACTGCATTTATTACTCATTTCTAATAGTTTTTTATGAGTCTTTAGGTTGTTCCAAATATAAGATTATGTTATCTGTCAACAAGGATAATTTGATTTCTTTCTTTCTAATTTGTATACCCTTTATTTTTTTTCTGTGTGATGCTTTAGTTAGGATTTCTAGTACTATATTGAATAATAGTGGTTAAAGTGGGCATCCTTGTCCTATTCTCAATCTTAGAGGCTTTCAGTTCTTCCTCTTAAGTATAATAGCTAAATATCTGTTGTATATGGCTTTTATTATGTTGAGGTATGTTCCTTCTGTACCCAGTTTTTGATCGTTTTAATTATGAAGGATGTTGAATTGTATCATATTTTAAAGCAGCAATTGAAATGTTCATATGGTTTTTATCCATTACGTTGATATGAAGTATCATATTGATTGAGTTACATCTGTTGAACCATCCTTGTGTCTCTGGGATAAATCCCACTTGGTCATGATGAATGATATTTTTGATGTATTGTGGAATTGGATTTGCTAGTATTTTTTGAGGATTTTTGCATCAATATTCATCAGATAAATTAATCTATGCTTTTCATTTTTGATGAGTCTTTGGTTTTGGTATCAGGGTAATGCTGGTCTAGTAGAATGACTTTGGAAGTATTCTTTCATCTTCTAATTATTGGAATACTTTCAGTAGGATTGATATTACTTCTTTATAAATGTTCAGAGTAATTTAACAGTAAAGCCATAGGGTCCCATGGTTTCTTTACTGGGGGACATTGTATTACAGCTTCGATGTCATTACTTTTTATTGGTCTGTTTAGGTTTTCAATTTCTGTATGGTTTAATCTCAGTAGGTTATATAAACCTAGGAATTTATTTCTTCTATATGTTCCAATTTATTGGCATATAGTTGCTCATAGTAGTCACTAATAATCTTTTGAATTTCTACAATATCCATTGTAATATATCCTTTATCATCTCTGATTTTTTTATTTTGTTCTTCCTTCTCTATCATTTTTTTTTTTTTTTTTTGAGACAGAATCTTGCTCTTTCACCCAGGCTGGAGTGCAGTGGCATCATCTCAGCTCACTGCAACCTATGCTTTTTGTGTTCAAGTGATTCTTGTGATTCAGCCTCCTAAGTAGCTAGGATTATAGATGTGCATGACCATGCCCAGCTATATTTTAGTAAAGACAAGGTTTCACCATTGTGCCTGGTCTTGAATTCCTGGCCTCAAGCAATCTACCTACCTCAACCTCCCAAAGTGTTGAGATTACAGGCATAAGTCACCATGCCTGGCTTCTGTTTTTCTTAGTCTTCCTAAAGATTTGTCAGTTTTGTTTATTATTAGGAAAAAAAAAAACACAGATTTTTGCTTCATTGATTTTTGTGTATTTTTTCCTTCAAATTAATTTTTTCTGCTCTGATCTTGGTTATTGCTTTTCTTCTACTAATTTTGGACATTGGTTTGCTCTTCCTTTTCTAGTTATTTAAAATGCACTTGTTAGGTTGTTTATTTGAAGCTTTTCCCCTTTTTTGATGTAGGCACTTGTAGTTATGAGCTGCCTTTTTAGTACTGCTTTTACGGTTTCTCATAAGTTTTCTATGTTATGTTTCCATTATCATTTGTTTTAATGAATTTCTCAATTTTCTTCTTGATGTCTTAATTGACCCACAGGTCGTTTAGGAACATAGTGTTTATTTTCCATGTGTTTGTATAATTTCTAACATTCCTCTTATTGTTAATTTTTAGTTTTATTCTTTGTGGTCAGAGAGGATGCTTGATATTATTTCAATCCTTTGAATGTTTTAAGATTTGTTTTGTATCCTAACATACAACCGATCCTTGAGACAAATCCACATGCTGAGGAAAATAATGTATATTTTGGAGCCATTAGATGAAATTTTCTGTAAATATCTTTTAGATCCATTTAGTCTATAGTGTAGGTTAAATATAATTTTTTTTGTTGATGTTATGTCTGAAGATCAGTCCAATGCTGAGAGTGGAGTGTTGAAGTCTCCAGATGTTATTGTTTTGGTGTCTCTTTCTCTCTTTAGCTCCAATAATATATGCTTTATATATCTGTGTGCTTCACTGTTGGGTCCATATATATTTAAAATTGTTACATTTTCTTGCTAAATTGACCCTTTTATTGCTATGTAATGTCATCTTTTTCTAGTATCATAGTTTTTATCTTGACATCTATCTTGTGTGATATAACTATTCCTGCTGTTTTTTGGCTTCCATTGGCATGGAATATCTTTTTCCATGACTTTGCTTTCAATCTATGTGTGTCTTTTTAGGTGAAGTGTGTTTCTGAAAGGGACCAGATTATTGTTTCTCATTTTTTTCCATTCAGCCACTCTATGTCTTTTGATTGGAGAGTTTAGTCTATTTACATTTAATGTTATTTTCACTATGTAAGGACTTACTGCGACCATTTTGTTATTTGTTTTCTGGTTATTTTTAGGTCTTCTCTTCATTGTTTCCTTCCTTCACAAAGGTAATTTTCTCTAGTGGCATTGTTTAATTTCTTTTATTTTTTGCATAGCTGTTGTATGTTTTTGATATGAGGTTGTCATGTGGCTTGGAAATACTATCTTATAATCTATTAGTTTAAGCTAATAATAACACTGTTTGCATAAACAAACAAGCAAGGAAATGGAAAGCTAATAAAAATTCTTCATCTCCTCACTTTTTATTTTTTTTTCTATTTATATCTTATTCTACTCTCTGTGTCTTGAAATATGGTCAGACTTATTTTTATTGATTTATCATTTATTTTTTCTACTTAACAGTAGTTTACAAACAACATTTACAATGTTATAATATTCTATGTTTTACCCTGTACTTCCTATTGCCAGTTTGATTTGCACCTTCAGATGATTTCTTATTGCTTATTAACATATTTTCCTTACTGAATGAAGCATTCCCTTTGGTATTTCCTGTTGGATAGGAAATCAGCTTTTCTTTGGTGGAAAAGCCTTTATAAATAAAGATTTCATGTCTGAAGGGTAATATCACCAGATACACTAGTCTAGGGTAAAGTTTTTTTCTTCACCACTTTAAATATGTCATGCCACTCTCCCTTGTCCTATAAGGTTTCCACTGAAACATCTGCTTCTATACATATTGGAGCTCCATTGTATGTTATTTATTTATTTATTTATTCTCTTGATGCTTTTAGGCTTATTTTTAATCCTTGGTCTTTGAGAGTTTTATTATTAAATCCCTTGAGGTAGTAGTCTTTGGATTAAGTCTGCCTGAAGTTCTACAATCTTTCCATACTTGGTTATTGATATATTTCTCTAGGTTTGAAAAGTTCTCTTGTGTGCCTTTGAATAAACGTTCTATTCCTATCTCTTTCTCTGTCTTCTCTTTATTCTCACTAACTCTTAGATTTGCCATTTCGAGGCTTTTTCTAGATCCTGTAGGCATGCTTCATTGTTTTTATTCTTTGTTCTAGTCAGACTATATATTTTCAAATAGCATGTCTCCAAATTCACTATTTCTTTTCTTCTTTTTGATGAATTTTGCTAGTAAAAGACTGATGCATTCATCCCTATGTCAACTGCATTTCTCAACTCCAGAATTTCTACTGGATTCTTTTTTATTATTTCAGTCTCTTTATTAAATTTATCTGATAGAATATGGAATTCCTCCTCTGTGTTATCCTGAATTTCTTTGAGTTTCTTCAAAACAGCTATTTTGAATTTTCTGTCTAAAAGCTCACATAGCTGTATTTCTCCAGGATTTGTCCCTGGTTCCCATGTTTAGTTCATTTGCTGAGGTCGTGTTTTTCTAGATGGTCTTGATGGTTATGGATTTTCATCTGTGTCTAACTTTTAAAGAGTTAGATACTTATTGTAGAGTCCGAGTTTGTTTCTACTCATACTTCTTGGGAAGGCTTTCGTAGTATTATAAATGACTTGGGTTTTGCATTCTAAGTGGTATCTGTATTAGGGGTCATACCAACCTCAGTAATGCTGTGGTTCTAGAAAACTTCTAGAGGTACCATCTTGATAACCTTAAATAAGTTTCAGAAGAAGTCTCTGGAATACCAGGCAGAGGCTCTTGTTCTCTTACTTTCTCCCATGGATTCTCTCTCTCTGTTCAGAGCTGGAAGTGAAGTAACACAAGCACCCCCGTGGCCACCCTCACTGGGTCACTGTGCTGAGTTAGACTTGAAGCCAGAACAGCACTGGGTTTCATGCATGGCCCACTGTAAGCAGTGTCTGGCTACTGTCTATGTTTGCTCGACACGCTGGTGTTCTGCAATCAGCAGGTACTGAATCCAGCGAGGCTTATGTCCTTCCCTTAAAGAAAGTAAATTTCCCCAGGTCTCGTGTAGTTCCAGAGATTCTGTCCAAGAGCAAATGTTGGAGTCAAGCACGTTAGAAATCTACCTGCTATTCTATTTTACTCTGGCTAAGCTGACACTGGAATCACAAGACACAGTCCTTCCCACTCTCCCCTCCCCTTTCCAGAGGCAGAAGAGCTTTACCCATGGTCACTGCCACCACTGGCCCATGGAGGGTATTGCCAGGTTGCTGCTGATATTTATTTAAGTCCCAAGCACCCTTAAGTCAGCTGTGGTGAATGCTGCCTGGCATGAAACTCACCCTTCAGGGAAGTGGGCTCCCCTCTGGCACAGGGCAAGTCCAGAAATACCATCCAAGAGCCAAGACCTGGAATCAGGAACCCCAAGAGCTGGCTTAGTGCTCCACACCTCTGTAGATGAGCTAGTTCTTAAGGTGCAAGGCAAAATATTCTTTACTCTTCCCTCCACTTTCCTTAAGCAGAAGGAATTTTTCCTATAGCTACAACAGCTGGGTATGTGCTGAGTCTTACGTTTTGAAGATAGCTAGTCTCAAAATCTCACCCAATGCCCACAACATGCTTACCTGGGTATTGCTGATTGTTATTCAGGGACCAAGGGTTCTTCAGTTGCAGGTGATGTGTCCTTTCCTTCAAGATAGCAACATCTCCTCTGGCCCACGGTGTATCTAGAAATGTCATATTGGAGTAAGGGCCTGGAAAATGAGCCTCATGACTCTGACTGGTGCTCTGTCCTTTTGTGCTGAGCTGGTATCCAAATGATAATGTCTTATTTTCTCTCCATTCCTCAACAGAAAGGAAAGGGTCTCTTTTGAAGCCACAAGGTATGCAGCTGGGGTTGTGAGAATGGTGGATCACAAGCAATTCCTTAGCCACGCCAGCTGGTGTCTTAGTCGTTTGGCTTTGAGCATATTTCTGCACTTGGACTCACCTAGGAGTTGTAGTCTTGTAGCCTTGACTGTCTTTCAAGTGTATTTTGAGCCCCAGAGCACTTTAACTCATGGTGGCAAGTGATGCTGGAACTCAAGTTCAGAACGATGGGATTAGTGATTCCCATCTGGTAAGGGCAGGTTTAAATACTGCTTTTTTGGGTGGGCATCAGCTGATGTCAGCCCGCTTTTGCTTTCTTCTGTAACAGGGGAGCACTCAATTTAATGCAACGTCTCACAATCCCTGTCCTCTCCATCTGCCAAGCAGAGTTTTTTTTCTCTATCATGTGGCTGCTTCAGGGGATGGGAGAGGGGTGGCATTGGCGATTCAAGACTGTCCTCTACACTCAGTGCGTCTTTCAGCAATATCAAGTTGAAACCAGGTAGTGTGAGTGCTCACCTGATTTTTGGTTCTTATGAAGGTGCTTTTTCTGTGTAGATTGTTGTTAAATTGGTGCCCTCGCAGTGGGGATGATCAGTGTGGGGTCTTCTATTTGGCCATTTGGCTCCACCTCCTACATATATAATTTTGACCATATTATTTAACCTCTGACCAAAAGACTTCTTATTTGAAAAAGAACGTAATAGCAACTGTTTCAAGTAAGTTGAAATTAGTGTAATCTATACTAAACATCTATTAAAACCAGGTGACCACTAACAATTAATTCCTTTTACTTCCCTCACTTTCAGGGACTGTATAGTTCAATAAGGAAAATATAACTTGTATTCAAGTAATTAATATACAAAATAGAATGTGCATAATGCTGTAAGAAAAATTTTGTTTAATATTTTGAAACTAAGCTTATCCTAAAAATTATCTGGTTTATACAACTATAGTGCATTTCTTTATTCTGTTAGACGGTTGTTAGGCTGTGTGTTTTTATATACTATGCATTGTTTATGGACATGTACATTAGCTTACATGAAGTAAATTATTTCCCGGTTTCCATAATGCAGATTTTAGTTCCTAGTCCAAAGTCTGAAATTCTCTAACCACTGAACTACAAACTCTATATTTTCTTTCTCTGCCTTAATTGTCACATAAGTAAAATTTAATTGATTTCTGCCAAATTTTATTCACAGAGATTTTGAGGAAATAAGTAAATTGCTATAAAACATTTAGAAAATTCAGTAGGTTGGTGGAAATATTCATATGTTATAGTTGCTGTTAATAAAGTAATTCTTATTTACATTATAGCACCATAAATATCTGGGTTTCTTTTTCTTTTTTGTGTGTGTGACAGGAGGTCTGACTCTGTCACCAAGGCTGGAGCGCAGTGGCTGGACCATGGCTCAGTGAAGCCTTGGCCTTCTGGACCCAAGTAATCTTCCCACCCCAGCCTCCTAGGTAGCTGAGACTACAGGCGCTCATCACCACACTGGGCTTTTTGTATTTTTCATAGAGATGGTTTTTGCCATGTTTCCCAGGGTGTTTTCAAATTCCTGGTCTCAAGTGATCTGCCAACCTCAGCCTCCTAAAGTGTTGGGATTATAGACATGAGCCACTACATGTGGCCATGAACATCATTAATTGTTAGGTTGCCAATTTAACTGTAACTAAAATTTAATCTTGAAATGTGCCTATTAAATTCTTCAAGAAAAATATAATATCCTGCAGCCAAGTACTTTACTCCATATCTACAAATAATATCAGAACAAAAAATAGTCCAAAAACTTTAAAAAATTTAATTGAAAAAATATTTGACTACTGAAAAGTGAACCTGATCTTTCAAAAGAGGCATGCAGCTTAGTATTTAAGGGGAAGTATACTGATGTATGCAAGTTGCTTTGGACATTTGAAAAACAAGACAGATTAATAGGAGGATAGAGTGTTAGATAGATGAATGCATGTGAGAAAAACAATGTTAGTAAAAATGTTAAGGGTAGAATCTCTATAATACTTAAAGTACTTATTTTTTTCAACATTTGGCAGCATCCAGGAATCTATATTCCTCCCACTGCACCTAACTCACCCCACCATCTCCACATCCCTGCTTTTTCTATGGCTTTAGTTTTCTAGGCTCTGTTCATTTCAGAGTTATGGTAGTCTAATTTGCCTGGTGAGACTGATTTTCTGTTGCCAGTTGTACTGTATTAAGCTCTATACCTACCTCCAAATTGGCTCCAACATGAAAACACGTCGTAATTGTTTCAGCAATGTTAAATCCATTCACCCCCGTGAAGAACATATGAGAAAAATAAAAACAAACAAAACAAGATAAAACCAAAAACAAAGTGGTATAAATATTTGTCATTCTGTAAGGAGTTTTTTACAAATAAAATAAGAGAGAGAGAGAGAGAGAGTGTGTGTGTGTATGTGTGTGTTTGTATATGTGTGTGTGTGTGTGTGTGTGTGTGTATATTGTATGTATGTATATATATATATATATATATATACACACACATACATAACAGTAACAACATATAATAAAAATATTAATAACTATTTACCAGATGCTGTCTTCAGAAATTTCAATGTTTTATCACACCCTTCAACAGCCCTGTCTGGTAGTGGGCTCACATTTATTCTAATTTTAGGGAAGATAAATCAGTCAGTGGTAGTAGATTGCTTTAATTATTGTTATTTGTTGCTCCTATTGCAATTGTTACTATGATTAAACATTTATTAAGGGTCTGCCATATGGTAGGCTACCTACTCAAAATAATCAGATGTTTTGATGTATGTTAGTNACTAGAGTCATTAACCTAGTTAATCATTTCATTGCAAACACAAAATGATTGAGAAAAGGTTAATTTTAAAAATCTAGGTTTAGTTCCTGGCATATGTTAGTGACAGATTTTTATTTTCTTCTCTGTTTCATGTTATTTCTTTTTTTCTATTTAAACCAAACCCTGTATTTGACACACGCAATTTTCTAGTTGTTATCTAAAACTATAATCAATGGTGTGTGATAAAAAAGAGCTCCGGAATAGATGCTAGAGATATAATTTCTAGGAAATAACCATATACTTTTACAGTGTGTGTGTGTCTCTGTGCATGTGTGCACACACTATAGAAGTATTTTAACATGTGTACGCATTTGTTTTTCATTGATAAGAAGCCTAACCTAGGTGATTTCTAATGTTAATTGCATTTCTATAATCTTACATGTCTGTTTATTTCAATTGACTAAAATCTTTAACTATGTGAGGCATATGTTAAATATGTAGAGAAAAACAATCCAAATCAAATTTCATTTTAACAATAACTTGCCTGTTTCTTAATTTAAATAAGTAGTCTGTTATTTGGTATTTTCTGACTGTAATCTAGTTAGTAATATAGCTATACTAAAATTTTATGCCAGGTATGGTGGCTCATGCCTGTAATCCCAGCACTTTGGGGCGCTCAAGCATGTAGATTACTTGAGGCCAAGAGCTCAAGAGCAGCCCAGCCAACAAGGCAAAACCCTATCTCTGGTAAAAATACAAAAAATATCTGGTTGTGGTGGTACGTGCTTGTAATCCCAGCTACTTGGCAAGCTGAGACAAGAGAATCACTTGAACCTGTGAGTTGGAAGTTGCAGTGAGCCAAGACTGTACAACTGCACTCAAGGCACTGTCTCAACAATAACAAAAAAAAAGTTTTTGGATGATCATTATGTTTTAAGACTAATATTTCTATAAATTATTAAATTTTATTTTTACAGTATTGATAGATGCAGAAGGCAGACCAATGCCTAAGTAGATAAAGAAGGGTCCCTGGAAAATCATTAACCTGGCAAGTGTTTATACCATATGTTTTTTTTTTTTTTTTTCTCAGATAAGGGAACCTGCACAAAGTCTTACAGGGACATGCCCACTACAGAGGGGAGGCCCACATGCATTGGAGGAATGGGTGGGGCCACCAGTATTTCTCACCTTATGCAGTGGGAGGAGCCTGGCCTCTGCAGTTCATGTGTGGTGGCCTGGTATTCAATCAGTGAAGTGGGAGCCTGTTGGTGGAACCCCCCTCTATCTTTGCTGAGAGTTTTCTTTTGCCTAATAAATCCTCCCTCCTCACCCTTCAGTGTGTCCACATGCCTAATTTTTCCTGGTGACAAGAACATGGATTTTAGGTGAACTAAGGAACAAAAAATCCTGCATCAGTATTATGGAGTAAGACATATGCCAAAAGTACATGTAAATAATACCTTAATCTAGAGGCTAACTGAAATAATGTAAGTCTCTGCCCTGCCCCTTCCTGTATTGCAAAAAGAATAAAGCATTTCATGACAAGGTAAAAGTACAGCTTACCTTCAAAGCCTAGTTAAAATAATTCTGGAAATAATAAAGAATAGGAGCAACAGAAATCTGTATCCTTGTCTAGACAAAAACTGCACAGATAGAGTTTGATGTATCCACTTTGGAACTATGGAAATACTGAAGACTTAGAAGTTTCAGGGGAAGGCTTGGAAGGCTAATAGTTAATTTTCATCAATTTTAATGTTAGCACAGCAGAAGCCACTGATGCTCCATGTCCAGCCTTGTAGCAGGAAGCTGTGAATTTGTTTCTAGAGCAACCTGAACATAGCTTGTGGAGGACAGATAGGGCAAAAAGAACTTTGCCCTTCAAATATTAGTGATCTGTGCTGTGATCACGGATTGCTGCTTCTGATCACAGAGTTACAAACAAAAACGTGTCATTCTTACTTCACCTTCCTCTATTTTTTGCAAGTGACTTTGAGGGAATTTAAAGGTCTAGTATACTTTATTCTCCCTCATTAGTTGTTTTTTTTTTTTTTTTCTGTTTGGGCATCAAGAGTGCAAGAAACAGGGCATTCAAAAGGAATGGTATATATGGGGAAAATTAGAGTATGTCTCTGCATGCCCAGGGAAAGACACAGGCAAATAAACAAAGACCTTAGAAGATGTGAAGTTTACAACTGAGGCATAGAGACAATGTATAACAATTAACAAGAAAACAAACCAACAAAAATACCTGAAGGGGAAAAGTACAGCAACTGAAAAAAAAAATGCATTGCGGGGATTTAATGGCATATACGAACTTTCAGAAGCAAGAATCCACAAAATTGAAGACAGTACAAGAAAAATCAATGTCTGAAGAGCAGAAGGAAAAATGATTGAAGAGAAATAGTCAAAAAGACCTGTGGGACACCACCAAGTAGACAGACATACTCATTGTGGGAGTCCTAGAAGAGCTGAAAAAAGGAGAAAAGAGAAAATGTAAAGAAATAATGGTGAAAACCTTCACAAATTTGATGAAAACATGCATATATACTTCCAAAAAGCTGAAGAAACTCCAAATATGATGAAGTTAAAAAGAGATCCATACAAAGATACATTATAATCAAACTTTGAAAAGCCAAAGACACAGATAATTTTGAAAGCATCAAGAGGAAAGCAACTTATCACATGCAAGTGTTCCTAATAAGATTATCATAAATTTCCCATCAGAAACTTGGCAGACAAGAAGGTAGTGTGCAGATATATTTCGAATCCCAAAGAAACTTTCAAACAATTTTATATCTGGCAAAACTGTCCAAGAAAAGTGAGGAAGAAACTAAGATATTTTCAGTTAAACAAAATTTTTAGTGTTTGTTACTACTAGAATTGCCTCCCAAGAAATGGTCAATGAATTCCCGCAGGGTGAAATGAAAGGACACTATACAACAACTTAAAGCCACATGACAAAGGAAACACCCCAATAGGGTATGTATATGGGCAATTATAAAAACTAGTTTTATTCTAACAAAAATTTTGAAATGTACTCCTTATTTGCTACATATATAAAGAAATTAATATATTAGAAAGCAACAATTATTAGTTTAAAAGCTAACATTATTTTAACCTTGATTTTGGACATCACATTGTATTTATACATAGTTTAAAAGATTAATGATTTCAAATCAATTGTAATTTTGGAGCACACAGTGTATAAAAATGTAATTTTGACATCAACAACCAAAAGGGGTGAGGAGAGAACTATTAAAGGAAGAGAGATTTTGTATGTTATTGAAGTTACGCTGATGTAAATTCAACTTAGGGCGTTATAACTTTAGAATGGTAAATGTAATCTCCATAGTAACCACAAAGAAAATAACTATAGAATATACACCAAAGATAAATGAGAAAGTAATTTAAATATTTCCCTACAAAAAATCAGAAAATGAGGGGCAAAAAACATTTAATGTATATAGACAATAAAGAATAAAATGATACAAGTAAGTCCCTTCTTGTCAGCAAATATTCAAATGTAAATAGGTTAGCACTCCCAATCAAAAGATAGTTTTGGGACCCAGAAAACAAAGAAATACCCTAAAATGAGGGCCTCAGAAGCAGCCTCAAAAGCAAAAATTTTTCTCTGACATTCTTCTGCCCTCCTGTCCCTCAGTTACATTCTCTCCCAAGGCTAGCCGTAGAAACTAGAATCCCTTTCCCCAATGCAGGTCATAGAAACCAGAACTTTTTTCCCCAAAGCCAGCTATAAAACCTAAAACGATTACTTTCCCTTTGCACTGCTGTGTAAAAAAAGGTCATAAAAGAATAATCTGACCTACTTGGTTTGATGGCAGGTCATAAAACCATCATGCCAGATAAGGTTGTCTCCCATACACAGAAGAAATGCATGCCTAGAGAGACCAAAAATCTAGGCAGAGCTGCCTTGCTGTGTTTCCATGCTTAGTCCATTAACATTCGATTACACTCTTTTGGTGCAACAATATGTATACATGGCTACCCACACATTATTGAACTAAGCATAAAAATGGACATTTTTCCTTGTACCTTTACAAGGCCTTCATTCTGAAGTCTCTTCTATACACATTAAGATAATTTGTTTGCCTTTTCACTAGACAATCTGTCTTTTGCAAATATTGTTTTCAACAAACCTTCAGAAAGAGGTGAAGTTTTACAATGGCCTCTACAGCAGATTGACAGAATAGATTAAAAAACAAGCATGATCCAACGATATTCTTTCCAAAAAAAACTCAATTTAGATCCAAAGACACAAGTAGGTTAAGAGTGAAATAATGGAAAAATACATTTCCATGCAATAGCAACCAAAAAGTGCAGCAGTGACTTTACTAATATCAGGCAAATAGACTTTAAAACAAAAATGGTTACAAGAAATAAAGGACATCATACATTATTAAAAGTTCCAATATGTCAAGAATATATAATTACAAAAATATAAGCAGCTAATGCCAGATCATCAAAATATATAAAACAAAAGCTTACA